ATATTTTTTCTTCCATTGGGGTGTTGAAAAAGTACACCATGTCCATGTTTTAGATTCTTGGATTTTGGAATTTGAAGACATGTTTCTAAAATCTAGAATGTATTTTTTCTAATTCGTAATGTTGGGAATCGAAAATTATGTGGATTGGTAATTTGGAAATATATTATGAATGGAATGATTTGATATGTTTCTTACTTTTTTTTCTATTGGAAACCAGATTTAAAATGTACTTTGGATTATAATTGAGAATGTATTTTTTGATTAAGTAATTTAGAAATTCAAATTATATAATTTGAAGTGTATTTTAGATTTTATAATAATTTTGGATTATATAATTTGGAAATATATTTTAACTTTTACAATTCCAAATATATTTTTAGATTTACAAATAGTATATTTTGGATTGTATAATTTAAAATTAATAATTTTTTATTGTATAATTTAGAATAGATTTTCAAATCCATAGATCATTTTGTATTTTCTAATTTCAGAATATATTTTTAAATTGCACAATCTAAACTGTTTTCAATAAATGGATAATTTGAACCTTTTCCATATATTGTACACATAGAAGATTAAAAAATAAAAATAAAGATTTTAGATTCACTTTGACCATTCAACACAAAGCAATGAAGGTTAGTGATAGAGATAAACTTTTTCTTCCTGCACTCCCATCCAACCACCCCATTTTTATCAAAGCCCAACTTCGTCATTATGGTTTCCAAAAATATATACGTTCTTAATGTTCCTATTAATATAATATTTCTTTTAGTTCTTTCAAGTATAACTTTTCTCTTTTCATAATCCATCTAGCTTTTATATTTTTTTAGGGTGGGAAGCAATTTGATGAATTCCCCTTTAAGGTTTACATTTCGATAGCGTCAAAAATTAATTTATAAACAAGTAAAATTTTGGATTTTTTATTCCACAATTATTATTCTTAAAAAAAAGTAATTAATATTTCGAAAAAAAGATAAAAAAAAATATAGATTTATTTTATAACGGGTCTCGAAAAATAAGCAATATATTTTCGGTCTTTATTATTATGTTAGATTTTTTGAGATTATTTTTGGTTAGAATTTTCAGTTATATCAGTCTTGTCCTTTTTCTAAGGAAATTAGTAATTTTTCATTATTTCACAAGAGTCACAATGAATTTTTATGGAACTGGAAGTCTGTTTATTAGTTTTTATTTGTGGTAGATTATTTGTGAGATCTAAGCGGTGGTTTTGATATCTTTGATATATATATATATATATATATATATATAAATATATTCTTCGTAAGGATTTCTTGAAAAAAATCATTGTATTATTTTCAAAATATTTACTAACGATTAACAGAAGATCAAATGAGGTATTTTTATTCATACTCTTACTTATAAGAGTATGGTTTATATGAAAACATGGGTTTATTTCCTTGACTCGTATTGAAAATAATTTCATTCTACCAAAAATTTCAAAAAGAGATGATTAATTAACTTTTTTTAGGTGTACCACTTTTGTATTGATGAAAATTGGACTTAACTAAAAATAAAATTGCACAAAATTTTCACAACTCTCCTATTTATTTAATGTAATGATTTATTTATTTAATGTACTGATTGGAAATCATATTTTTTTTTCTAAATTAGAAAACGCAAAGACTAACTTCCGAGGTTTAAGTAAAAAATGATAAAATACCATCTAGATTTATCTAGAAGCTAGAAAACTTAGTGACATAAAAGTTATTATAGTATAAAGTTCCAATGAGATGAAGTTAAATTCATTAAAGACGAAAAATGAAAAAAAAAAAAAACATTCCCCGTTTATATCTTACATCAATACTCTTTTCGACCTGATGTATCTTTTTCACATTTAAGAAAAGTCTGGATTCTTGGTTTATTAATTAGTGGAAGATTAGTCAATCCGAAATTTTCTTAAATGATATTAAAGAAAAGAGTATTCTAAACAAATTCATAGAATTAGAGTTAGATGACATGTTAATGGAATGTTTATAAACATATATACAAAACCTTCCTACTGGAATTTATAAAGAAACCATCTAATTAATCAAAACACACAACAAAGATTGTATGAATATGATTTTGCACCTCTCCACAAATATAATTTGTTTCTTTATTCTAAACGGTTAAAACTTACATTATTGTTTTGTTTTGTTTTTTATTGTCTTATTTATGAGAGTTTTTATGGTGAATTGATTTTGTGTGGAAAACTCTTTTTGGACAAGGGATGATGGTTGATATGTTTGTGCGTGTGTCTTAGGAAGAGATGAAGTCTTGAATTCTTGGTAAACTCTATGTGATGGTATAGATGATGAACCCGGTCCGTAAGTCTCTTTAAAAGAGTAGTGGGGAGTGAACTTCGTCTTCGTCTGTAAGACTTTTTATGAGTAGTGCTAAATTCTAGGTCTCTTATGGTTAGCGAATGGCTGGTAAGTTATGTGCATGAGTGAAGTCGAGAACATGTAGACCAAGATCTTTGCCTTGGTGACAATACATGTGTTTATATGATATGTATCTATTTATAATGTTTGTACGTTAGCCCACCTTTCTATTTTGTACATTCAATCTGCGAAAATCATATTTTTACCAGAGCATATGATAGTACAAGTGTTGAGAGAGATGCACGACATTAGAGAGAGGAACCAACATTGTTAGATATTTGAGATAATCTTTTAATTTTATGTTTTTATATTTAATAAAGTCTATTTATAAAATAATATTTTTTATTGAAATTTTCAACAAAATAAGAATAACATTTTATTTTAAATTATGTAATATGTATTAAGGTTTAAACCCTCGTTTGGTCCTCGTATATGTCAAACTCAAGTGGGTCATCGTTTTTTTTTTCAGTCTCAATCGGGTCCATAAACTTGTAAAAATGAGTCAATTAAGTCCTCTCCGTTAAGTTTTCGCTGACGCCCTTTACAGTTGCTGACATGGTGCCCACTTAATATGTTGATGTGTATTGTTTGATTATGTAGAATTTTTATTTAAATTAAAAGATTATGAAATGGCAAAATTTAATTGGTTAATGTTAAAATCATAGGGTTTCCTTTGTGATTGGGGTTTCGAATCTGTGTGCATGTTTCGAATGGAGGTGCAAGCTGCCATGGTTGCGTGAGATTGATGGTGGAGGTCGCGATTGAGAAGATGTTCGCGGTTTGGTTCTCTCTGCAGATGCATGTTTACGGTGATGTGCAGAGATGGTGTTCAGGCATGGTGGAGATCGCGAGTAGGGTGGTCTCTACAACAACGACTTCTACTCCAATTGGGTTTTTAGATCTCTATATTTCTCTTGCAGGTTGAAGGCTTGTGCGCAGAGGAAAAATAATTGTTGGTAGCGCTGGAGTAGCAGAAGGGTTTTAGTGGATTCTTTACCAATATCCGGGAGGACTTCCCCAAACTCTGAGGATGAAAATTCCAACATTAAAAGCTCCCATAACTCAACATTAATATTCAAATTCTTATGTGGCTTTTGGGTGTACAAGAAAAGTGACAATTCCTCCCTGGGAACAACTTTCTTTGCCTCAACCTAGCGATAGACGAAACAATATTGAAGATGACCCAATATCAGAAAATAAAAAAGTGTTGAAGATCTATAATCCTTGTTCTCTAACAAACTACAATTGGTATGGACAAAACTTGGATACAGTTTTTCAAGTGTTACAAGTCCAATATCTAAACCACAAGTTTAATTTGACAGTAGTTACCTTACTGTCAATACTTAATTGTAATATCAGTTTCTGAAAGCTCCCTATTTTATCCTACAAACAATCAATATATGAGGCATATATGCCAAATGAAATGAATGTGGTAACTGGTATATCTATGAACAATATATACGATCAGAACTCACCGGTAAGCGAAAAATTGGAGACATCATTGAGTGGTCTGATAACTATGAATGCCCAAATAGGATACACTCTAATCATGATTTTGATACCATATTAAAAGTGGACTTTAAGCCTAACTCAACCCCACAAAACCAACTTGTAAAGTGAGGTTTGCACCCACTTATAAACTATGAATTAACTTTATCTCTAGTCGATATGAGATTTCCAATAAATATGACATAATGTTGTTTCTTTATGAAAATTTCTTGTTTAAACTTTATTTTTTAAATATAAAGTGAGAATTTATTATAACAAAAGTACAACTATACCATGATTTCAATTAAGCACTTATCATAACAAGTAAAAAATATGAAGAAAATTGAATTAAGAGATTGAGCATATACAAAATTGCTTCTTTTCACATATAATAAAATATTTTACAAAAGTTTTGCTTTGTCCTATCATACCAATAAGACGGTAAGTGCATATATATATATATATATATATATATATATATATATATATATATATATATATATATATATATATTAACTTTACCTACCTAACAAACATTTTGTAAACTTGTTAGTGTGTTGCAAAGAATACATTCGGGATACAAGCTAAAACTATTTTGTTCCAATAACTTTCTTAAAACAAATTTATTTGAACTTTGGTCCAACTATATACCTTGCACTATCTTTGTTTTACTTAGTTTTGAGTAAAAAGATATTTATTCTAGCAAATAAGAACTGCCTGTTGTCATAATATTGCTTAAGAGGAAATTGATTTTTAATTATGTAAGGAACACATTTAATGCACGTCTGTGTACAAGGTTGACAGACAAAAATAGATAATTTTATTTAAATTAAAAAACACTAACAGAAAATTATTAGCCATAACTCTTCCTTCCAAGCTCTATAAAGTTATCCTTGAAGAAGATGAAGAATTAATTGATTACTAACAAAAAACACTGATAAAATGTTGATGTGACCTTTCAAGCTCCGTAGAGGAACACTGTTGAAATTATTAGGTTAAATAAATTTATATATTTATAATTTGGAATGATTATTTTTTTCTTTGACTCTATATTATCTAAAACAGAGTTGAAATGGTCATGTAATAATTTATGCACATGTGGAGGGTTGAAGTTGCAATAAAATAATGCTGTCAACATTGACCAATGAAGTAGAAGGCGAGGTGAAGAGAGGGAACCATTCAACTAACTGCTTCAAGTCCCTTCAACCTCAAGCCAAGCCACAGCACCAAAAAGGTTTACAGAATCAAATCATTTCAACTAACTTTCTGTTTCCTGCTGCACTCACGCAACCAACATTAAACCTCTTTCATGCTGGCCTCAGACTCCGGCTCTGTGCTCCGACCCAAACCCCCCATACCCACTCCCTACCCTACTCGCTCACTCTTCCGCCCTTGCTGTTTCGATCCAGGATCCAGACCCGCCGCCCCCAATCTCACCCTTAAAATGGAACTGCTCCGTCGAATGGGCCGCGGTTGCTTCAAGGCTGACGCGGTCGATGCTGGTGGCCGGGACTTATTCGACACTCGCAGACGTGACTTATTCGATGCCACTGTGGCTTCCTCGCCCAACTCGGTCCCTCTTCACCTTGTTATTATGGTTAACGGAATCATTGGGAGGTAACGACTTTTACCACTTTCCCGTCTCAGGAATTTCATTCTCACTGTAGCATGCTTGCTTACAATTTAGCATGGGAATAGTTTTTAAAATTCAAATGTTACTCGTTAGGTTCTGTTATAGTTAGTGAGTTCTATGAGCATACAGGCAGTGGTGGACATTAACCAAGTCTTCTTGAAAAAAGTGCTAAAAAGTCTAAAATTTGATTCTTGTATAAGAATATGAACTTTAAGAATAAAATTATTTAATTGTGTAATTAAATTGATTTTTTAGTTGATAAACTATGAAATATAAATGAAAAATTATGAAAGTGTAAGTTTTGTGAAGTCTAACAGTTAGAACAGTATTTGAAGAAGAGTGTTAAAAAGATATAACCTGCTTGCATTTTTTTGTTTGGTAAATAATTTCTAGTATTTTCGACTGAACGAACTCAAAGTCAAACTTGAAGATGACTCAATCTAGTTAGCCGGGCTTAGGAAAATATTTCTGAAACTTGTAACAAACCTTTCCAACTTCTTATAGTCAAAGTTTGAAACAGTACACCTTGTACTTAATTGAATATTTGCATATCCGTTGTTTGTGTTCAATTTTTTCACTTTCAGACTTTGTTATTTTATACAAGTTTCAAAGGTCAATGTAATCATTCCTAGTATTTAACTGCCTTTTAGGGCTTTACTCTAATCTGGTGTGCTGTTTTCTTTTTGTTTTCCAAAATAGGAATCCATAATAATTGCTGTATTTTTTGGTCTCAAACTTCACTTTTAGATCAGTAATTGATTGATCCAGCAGATTTCTATCTCTCACTTATTGTGAATTAATTGGATTCTGGGCCTATTATATATAGTTCAATTCAGTTTCATTGTTTGTTTTCTGTGCATGGACGTTGGTTAATGTACCTTGATATTTCAGTGCCGCTGATTGGAGATATGCAGCAGAGCAATTCGTGAAGAAGCTTCCAGATAAAGTAATTGTACACCGTAAGCATTCCGTCTCCTGTCAAAATTTAGTCCTTTTTCAGAGAACATCTGAAAATTTAACTTGAAAATTGAAATGCTACTGGATTGCTAATCTTCTAGTTAGGTTTTTTATCAATTTGTAAATCACTCACTGGTTGTGGGACGACAAATGGATGGTTTCACGGTATTAATTTATTGGTCGAATGAGTTATTTCTGTCTTTCCCTTTGATCTAGGTCTAAAACATCTTAAACAAAAAAGGATGTTTGGTTCAGGGAATTTCTCAACTTCTTTTTCTTATCTTCTTAAACTTCAAAACATCATGCTTATTCTATTGATTCTATACCTGACATTGCCAAGCTCCCAATCCTTCACTTTTATTATGTTTTGCATTGTTTATAAAGAAAAACATTAATCGCATTTACTTGATAATTTGTGGACAGGCAGTGAATGCAATTCTTCAAAATTGACATTTGATGGCGTTGATACAATGGGTGAGAGGCTAGCTGAAGAGGTACTTTGGTAATAATAAAATGATGATTTTTGTTGTTTTTACACATCTTAATCTCGCATTTTCATACTTCAGTCAATTTTCATTTGCAGTGATGGCTTTGCAATGACTCAATCATTTTGAACTTTTGGTTTTAATTCATATTTTTGCAGGTATTATCTGTTGTTAGACGTTGGCCAGAGGTGCAGAAGATATCTTTTGTGGCACATTCTCTAGGAGGCTTGGTGGCAAGATATGCTATTGGGAGACTTTATGATTACTCTTCAACATTGACACTTGTCAGCAAAGACTGTTTCAGTGAAGAGAAGTCAGAATATTCAAAGCAATGCCTTGAACAGAGTTATGAACCCAAAATTGCTGGTTTAGAGCCCATGAATTTTATAACATTTGCAACACCACATCTTGGTTCAAGAGGAAACAAACAGGTAGCTTAAGTTTGTTCTGAACTGTAGCTGTAATATTCCTTTTGTCTTGTATGTATCATTTAGGTACTTCAATTGTCAAACTTAAAATCATTTGGCATTTCAACTTTCTTTTCAATTGTCAGACTTAAAATCATTTGGTATTTCAACTTTTTTTCAATTGTCAGACTTAAAATCTTTTGGCATTTGAACTTTCTTACAAAATAGAAATTGTCAAACTTAAAATCTTTTGGCATTTCAACTTTCTTACAAAATAGGTGCATATAGTTGGTAATTGAGTATAATTAGTGATCATTGCACTTGGTTCCTTCTTATTTCCTGAAAGCCACTTAATTTAAATTCCTAAAGTGATTTGGTCCATGTGATTTCAGTGCTTCAACTGGAGATTAGTATTATCCTAGGTATGCAATTTGCACTTAGTGTCAGTTTATAACTGATGTGTGGCAAGAAAGATATTTTTCCTCTGAATTTTTATTGGTTGTAATTGTATATATTATCCAATAGAAATTGAGAAGCACTCAAGCATTCAGGACCCTTCCTTAAAAGAAAGCTGTCAAGAAGGGAGAACCATGCAAACCACTTAAGTATTCAATTGAACATCCTATACTTACTCTATGTGGGACTTAATACCTTAAAGTACCCAAGTTTCTATCATAGCATCGCTACTAAGAGTCAACATCCTGACAGCTTCACTCTACAATGCTGCAGTCAACCTTTCTAGTCAACACCTTTGTAGGTAACCCTTTATTAAACAGCTGCAACCATTTATGATACCAATTGATGAACTCCTAAGCACTTTGAGAGCACTCATTCAAGTGTTCTACTAATGAAGGAGAGCCAAGCCATTTAACTATTTTACTGAGCAACCCATACTTTTTTGATGAGGGACCTAATCACCAGATAATATCCATTTCCTTATTAACTATCTTCAAATGTCTATGTGGAAGGGTATTGAATATGGATATTTGGACATAGACTAAAGGCCAATTACTTTTTTTTTTTTTGCAATTGATATAGAATCTTATGCAAACTACTGTGTTTATTTTTGTTTATTGCCTTTTCCGTATAGGAGTGTTCAAAATGTAAAAATATTGAATTTGCAATGTAAGAGAAGAAAAAGTTTTCATATTTTTCCATAACTCACTTGCCCTAGATTACTGGTGCTATGAATCTTCCTGAATATTTGTGTGTGAACAATCATAAAACATTGAGTTGCATTGAATCTTTTTAATTTTCTGTGGACTATAGCTGTTGTGAAACACAAATTGTGTTGTGATTGGTTTTGTTAGTCAGATCATTGATTCAATGTTGGACATGAAGTGCTTACTGGGCTTGCATTATGGTCTCTTACTTCTTTATTGTTTATTCTTGTAGCTTCCTTTTCTTTGTGGTCTTTCTTTCCTTGAGAGAAGAGCATCCGAAACTGCACATTTAGTTGCTGGGAGATCTGGGAAACATCTCTTCCTCATGGACAATGATGATGGAAAACGTCCTCTGCTCCTGCGAATGGTTAATGACTCTGGCGATTTAAAGTTTATGTTAGTATTAAAGTATCGATTAAACTCATCCAAATGCTAATATTTGTTTCTGTGTTACTTACAATCTAATTGTTTGTGATGGTGTAGGTCAGCTTTACGTGCATTTAAGCGTCGAGTGGCATATGCAAATGCAAACTATGATCGTATCCTCTTTAAAATTTAGGTTTTAGATAACAATTCCTCTTTGATAAGAGATGATTATGCATAATGGATCTATAGTCAGCTATAATGAAGTAGTTAGCAGAAGCAGTTTGCATGTGCTGTTATAAAGAACTTGTAGACAGCTACGCTCCATTAATTATTAATTTACCTGAAACTGTATATTACCACAATGTTGCAGATAATTGTCTAGGATAAATAAATGCTTTTCTTGTTCAGATATTTCTTGACTTGTCTTTAAGATATGGTAGGATGGCGTACCTCATCAATTCGCCGTCAACATTAACTTCCAAAGGTATAGAAAGACTATTTGATAATAGTTTACTTTAGTTCTTTAACTGGTGTAAGAGACTAATTCTTGTTCCTTGTGTGTTGTGCTAGTCCAATCTTCTTGTCATTGATGAGAGATACCCACACATTGTTTATGTTGAAGGAGAGACTGTTGATGACATTGGCAATAAAACATCTAATATTGGAAGCCAAATAATTGACTTAGAAGGTTATTCCTCTATCTTAAAAAGGCTTTATCAATTTTGTAATATAACTTTGATGTTGATCTATGTTGTCTATCTGTATTGCTCCTGTTGAACGATTTCGTATAATATAGTTAGGAGGATACTGATTTTTTTTCTTAGAGTTGATGTTTAGGATGGTAAGTGTTGTTCTGATAGATATATAGTAATAGTGTTGACAGAAAACTTTGGAAGAACCACACCACAAAAGCTAGCCATTGTGGTTGGAACTTGGAAAGTCTTACTCTTGACAAACCCCACACTTAAATCCCATACTTAGACATGGGACCAAGTCACATTTCAATTGAATCCTAACATTCCACCCACATGCTCTATTGCCCTAGTGCTCACCCAGGATGGGTGTGCAATTAGCCCTTTCATTAGTCCCGGACAAATACTGCCATGCTAGTGTCACTATCAGTGCTACTCTTTAGCAGTTGAGAAACATTGGGAAAAAGGCTCTAATATCAGTTGATAATAAATAACCTTGGGAAAACTACATAATAAAGCTAGCCGATGAAGTTGAGAGCCAAAACACTCAAAGCCCACACTAGAATGGCATGACTTAAGTCATGTATCTTGAAATTGATTCCTAAAAGGTATTTATCCTGAATCAATGGAGAGAAACATTGCGCAAAAAGGAACAAAGGAGATCTAGGGGCCAAAATCCCTAATTTCCTCTTAGAGGACAAGGTGTAACTTCAAGGGCAGAAGTTTTAAAATTAGTTACAAAATTGTTAAAGTTAATTAGGTTGTTATGTTAGAGAGAGGACAAGGATTATTGTCCTTAATTGTTGCTTTAAGGAATCGAGAAGTTGCTCATTCTGGAAAGGGGAAACCCCTTGGAAGAAAAATTAACTCCCTCTTCTGTTCAGATTTGATTTTATTTCCCTCATCAATAACAGATTCATTCTTTTTCTTTCTACATCTCATTCTACACTTTAAATCTCCTCTGTGGGTTTTTAGCAGAAAAAAGGGGAAGGGAGAACCACAGGACTTATGAATACTCTGTTTGTAATTTGTCATAGCTTTCATTCTGTTTTTCTTTTCTGTGTCAGGATTTCATTTGTCGATTCGTCTCTGATCTTGTACCATATTTCTGAAGATTCATATGAAGGAATTCTATAAATAAAATTTCCATTCTTTTCCTAATTTCTGGTTCAGTTGTATTAAAATGTCATTGTTTTTCATTTTGGTCACATTTTTTCTATTAACTTTACACACCATGATTAAACATATGCCTAAAATTAAATTTATTTAATATTTGTAGTATTTTCATTCTACATTTGTCTCAGTGGTTACACCCGTATTAGTTGCACCAAATATACCATAGTAATAAATACTGTTTGGCCGTCAACCACATGAATACGGGGCCCAAACGTGTGACTGTAAATCCTCACGGGTTTAAGGAATGTTATGGACTGTAGGACACCCGTGTCGAAGATTACGTTCATGCTTTCCTTAGAAGGAACTTGTCTAACCAATTTTCCTTAGGTTACTCTATTTATGATGCATCTCTCGAAATGAGAAAGGCAATGAATGAATAATGGGATGTATCCCAATAACACAGCTAAGGTATGGAGGAAGCGTTGCAAGCTACACACCCATAGGTTTGCTCAGTTGCAAATTCATATCAACAATCACCAACTAAATGATAGTCGACACTCCCATATACAACAGCGCTATCATTCCTTCTAGCCTTTTCTCACGGACTTCAAAGACCATCTTTTAAAATTCCAACACCGTACGTCATCCGTGGGTACGAGTACCTCCTCCACCCCATTTCCACACTATCATGATTACTACACCTCTTTCCATCCCACGACAACCAATTTCCCAACCTCACATCTCACACTTCAAAACCACCCTTCTTGGCCAGCCTTCTTACAGTGCTAAAATTCTCCGGTCATATTTTCGGCCTAACTGTCACTACCCTTATTGATACTGAAGCTCCCATAACATCCTTCAACCTCGTGTTGCCACCCATCATCTCATCCTTTCCACCATACCCACTAAATCCTTCTTCGTTATGGTTGGTAAATGGTGCCCACATTATGTGCTCTGTGTTCTGCCCCAAAGTGCACCTTCGACCTATAACAAATCTCACCATCGCTTGTTCCTACTACCTAATGAAGGTGTTGACATTGTGTTAGGATTGGAGTGTTTGTCCTCTCTGTACAACATATTTCCCAACTTTGCCAAACCTGGTTCTTTTTTTTTTTCTCATAACAACAGCCTCTTCACAGTGCTTGGCCAACATACGCCCAACCCCGTTGTCATTTACTAATGTTAGGATATTTATCCTATTTTATCATCATTATAGTGTGTCAAGGGTTACCCTATTTATCATG